ACATACATTAAACATAATAGGACTTGATGCACGTCTTTTTTTTTTTCGGATCAAGTTCGAAATGGCCGACTGGTGGCCATTTGTTAAAGAATTCAGTTCTGGATCTGTATCCAAGACATGTCTGGATTGATCAAGTTCAAACTTCACACACTCATGGTACATCATGTCACAAATAGATATGTGCATTTGTTTCATGATCTGCTTAACAATAGTAGAATGATGGCCATTTTAAGGCCGAAAATGCATCAAAATCACGTATTTTCACAATTCCAGAACCGGATCTCAGTCATGCATGGATGGATTTTGTTCAGATTTAGTACAATGTGTTGTACATATGCAGGTGCATTTCGGTCATGATCTGCTTTGAATGTACATGTATATGTCACTCAAATATGAACGGAACGGGGACGTGTCATTGACAATGACTTGTTAACATTTAACACTGTTGTAGTATGTAATACCAGACCACTCAAAACAGTTGTGGGTTTGACTTGCTATTTGTATTTACAATACAATATATACATATATTTCAATACACCAACAGTGGCAGTCACTCTTTCTTGTTTTTTAGTTTTAGTCTGACTACAAGAAAGATTGGAACGGCAATAAGCTCCCACAAATGTTTTGAAATTTAGTGTCAGCACAAAATAAATCCTGTGAAATCAATAGAGGGAAAAATGGATTGGACAGGACTTCTTTACACTTGCACAGCATTATACAGATTCCTGTCAGCATAACTTTTGACTTCACTTATCCAATACTATTATACAATGACGGCATAATTTTGGAAAGGTACAATGCAAATGGTGCTGTTTAGTTTTCTATTAACATCATTTACATATTTCTAAATGTAGTGTGGGTCCAATAAATAGATTTTTTAGTGCATCCAAAATTTAATTTTTTACAATATGTATTTTAGTTGGCACTTGTAGATATGATTTGTAAATTATTGGTTAGTTTTAATATCTTTTTTATTTATTTATTGAGGCTCCTTTATACTGAGCTTGGTGTGGTTTTGAGAACACTCGACTGCCAAATATTTTCTGCTTTTCATTTGTGAAAATCTGTTCAATGTTTTTGTTTCATTATTTGAGATATATATCGAAAACAATAAATGTTCTATTCATCTGGATGAGTATATGATTGCTGACAGAGGCTACCTTTTGTAATTGCATTTGAGGTTTTTAACGGGCATATAAGTGGAGGAAATTATGAATTTACAAATATACAGAACAATTGTCATTTCGTTTATGTAGTGATTTTTATAGCAGATCTGATGTTTTGCATATCAAAATTGACTGGTAGGACAAAGCACATCAAACCTGTAGAAATGTGACCGTGTTCAATTGGATACTGTGTTTCTATTACTTTTTTGTTTGTTTACAAGTTTGAGTGTATGTCCATTTGTGTCCTGGGAGCAATTGATCATCTTTTGTGTTTTGTGTTGTCTTATGGCTATTCTAATTTGTGATGACTTGTCACATATTCAATGATGCCTTTAGATGGGTCAGTTGTTGTGGCTCATTATTTGACTACTATTATTGAACATTTATATGCATCATACTGATGTGAATACATTGAATTATATATCGTAATATATATGTTACATGGCACTTCACAGATTGGGAAACAAATTGTGAAATACAATTGATTTTAACCCAATTTACTTGTGTGCTCACTGCTGATTTCTGTAACTAAGCTGTCAGTCTCTTGGTTCGATTAAAAAATGGGCGTAGACATGGGCGCCAATCATGTTTTCAAAATCATAGGAGCAAATTATGTGCAGCGCAATTGAGTTATAAGACGTGTTTTTGGCGCATGGTCATGTTTGGAACAGTGAACACGATGACAAGAGAGAAAGGAAAACTACTCGTATTTGAGTGGTACAGCTAAATACTATGGCTCTTTCTGAGAGCTCAGCCTCGGAGTCATCTGTAACACAATTTCTGATCGGTACGATTTCTGACCTACACAACTTGTACACGCTCAGATGTAGTTAGTTATGTGCACCAGTGGCCATATACTGGTACTCAAAATAGAAAGAGCGATTCCCTAAATCTGATTTAAATGTTGAATAAGATGAGCTAAACTTCTTGTTTACTTTCTACCACCCTCTGCTGTATCATTGTAGATGAAGTTCAAAGTAAATGAGGGGAAATGTCTGTCCTCGTTGTTGATTTAATCATAGACACTCTTGTGGTTACATTAACCCAGCGTTATCCAATGTGTTTTCAAACTGCTATTAACCAGGTTCTTTTGGGTCAAGTTTGATTTTAGTATCTGTTCTATGTATATTTGTTAACTACCAATTACAATT